CACCGCTCAGTGAGGCTTGTCCGTGGAATTGGTGACAACTGTGTGCTCCATGTGAGACAAAATTGGCATCCTGAGTACTGCTGAATAATTTTTTTTGTTGCATGACACACGACCCGTGGAGGAGTATGGACAAATGCAACCCAGTCTCTCAATGCAACATACTCAGGTCCCAAGTCCACATCACTTGGCGGTGCTGGCGCTGTAGCTGAAGCTGTGCTTGCTGGCACTCCAGCTGACATTGCCAAAGTACTAGCACAAAATGCAAAGTAAACTGAGTGAGGAAAGGCTACAATCCCAAAGCCGAAACCCTTTCGGGCAACCAATGTATGAGGCTCCAGGCTGTATGAGGCTCCAGGCAAGAGCAAAAGATTGAATCAAGAAATGAAATAAGACTCTGAGACATCGTGTTTATATCATTCGGACTGGTGAACAAATGAAACCAAAACTCACACCACGCAACCAGCACATCACTCTGTTTTTTTTGGACTGTCTCCAACTCTCATTCCCCCAGCTGCAAAGACACAGTCTCGAAGTCCTTGTTGATGCGTGCCTGGTCAATCGCAAAGGCTATTCATATTCATGTATCACTGTATCGTCATATGCTGCATATGACTATTCTTCATGTGCCTGCCAATGTCTATTCACATTCCTGTGTGTGACAGGCTTGTGTTTCCTCGCATGCCCTGCGCGCGCCCGTGTGCGCCCGTATGCTCATCTCCGTGCGCTCGCTCGCTCACTCGCTCGCTCGCTCGCTTGCCCGCTCGCTCGCCCGCTCGCTCGCCTGCATGTCCTGTATGTTTGTTATGCTTGCTTGGGTTTAAGGTATCATTTTTATAAAATAGGGCGAGCGAGCAACCACAGTGCACAGACACACATACGGTCACATACGGTCGCGCACGGTCGCGCACGGATACATACGTGCACATGTGTACCGTGTATCCTGTATAGGCATGGGTCTGCCACACGACCAATCAGACCATGAGTCTGAAACGTTTCAATGGTTCAATCTGTGGAAGCCTCAACGACCTTTCCCTGCAATCTTAACTGCGGGCAAAAAAAGGAACCACCACTCCTGTGATGAGTGGGGATCAGAACCTTGATCGTTTCAAGGCCTAAGGAAAGCAAGAATTATGTTGACTGAATGACTGGAATCCACAAACAGTTTTTGGATTCCAGTCATTCATTCAACATACTTCTTGCTTTCCTTAGGCCTTAAAGGGGTTGACCTTGCATTAGTTGACTGTGCCAAAAAGGGTCATCAAGCAACACGAGGGTAAGTAATCGGGTCACCTGTTTCATCTGAACACCGTCGTTTTCCTCCACATCCACACTGCGACGTTGCTGGCCTGCGCCGTGAAGTTCTCAAAGTCACCACCAATCAGGAGCCCACCATTGGCTTAGATCGGAGACACACAGTCACATGGTTTCCACGCACTGTCTAGTCAACCAATAAAGAAACACTTGTGACTGAACCACAAATGAGGAAGGAGGTTGTATTCTATTATATTAGTTATAAAATATATCAATATTTATATTAATATGTAACGTAAGTATGTGACAGACATAACATATGTGTGTGTTTCTCATTGTTGCTGTGCACTTGCAATGACACAGAAAATCAGAACACAGAAAGAATGACTACATTTGCGCGCTGCTCAACACCAATCAAGTCTGACTTGCATCTCTTGTGAGCCAAGTCACCCAGAACATTTTTGCATGTTCTGCTGCCGCAGTTCGGTTGGGTACATTCAAAGCCCCTTCATACAACCATCGCATCAATCGAGGGTATGCATTCTTCGGAAGCAGCTTTGCCGATTTCAGCGTAGTGCACTTATGATGAAAGTAACATCGAGTAGAAACAGAGACTGAATTCTTGGTGCGAATCTCCGTGATGCGGCCTCAATGTTGTTCCTAAACAAACCCTGAAACCTATAGTTATAGATGGTGAACTCTGAACCCACGTGGCACAAATGCAAATAGATACAAAAACATAGTCTATAGTAGTGTGCTAAGCAGCCAAGGCATTTTGTTCCCCTCACTGCTTCCCGAGCGTAGACATAGCCATCATCATCCATATAACATGGGGCGGGCGGCGCAGAAGCTAAAGAAGATGCACTGGATGCAGTGGCAGGCGTCGATGGCAATGTCGGTTCCTGGCAGAGTCCATTTTAACTACTATGCTTTGTTACTATGTTATGTTGCACTACATGTGCCTGTGCACATTGTATCAGCAAGTTTGTCTTGTCACATGCACACATATTTCATACCTAATTGAATCATACATTTGGTCATAGCCATAGTCATAGTTAAAGTCAAAGTTATAGTTATAGTTATAGTCTTAGTATAGTTAAACTAAAAAGGAAAACACAGAAGTTCACCAACTGAATCACTGAAAACAGCTGTGATAGCAACCAATCGAAACTGCTGTTGGGAGACTCTTCTGTCATATGTGGAACATATTTGACATGTTGAAGAACAATCGTTGCTTTGTTGCATTACCATCTGAACCCCTATTGCCAACAAGGGACCACTGCCTCAGCACGCTCTTGCTTTGCAGCGGTCTTAGCCTTTGCACTGCCTTTCTTCCCTTTCTTCTGCACGGGCTTTGCTGCAGCAAAAGAATGCACAGCCTCCTAGGTTGTCATATCATATACTGCGGATCAGCTAGAGTTCAGCCTAAGAACAAGTTGTAGCCTTGTAAACTCATGACTCGTGACTCGTGAGTCATGAGCGTCACTCCTACAGTGTCTCATCAGTATCAGTAAAAGCCTTGAAACTAAAAACTACCAGCTCAACATAAAGTGTAGATTTACAGTTCCAACTCTTTGCAATTCCAATGTTCTGAGACAAGTCACAGTTTGCCCCAAAAATTCCTCTCGCGCTTCCAGCCATGTAGCGTGAAGTTCCACCAGCTCTGGGTCAAGCCCAGTGCCTGCGTGTTCCTTACCTTGGTCAAGCTAAGTTTTGCCATCAAAGTGACACTTCAACAGTTTGTAACAATTGTGCTGTACTGTATTGTATGGAATCATATCACATGAATCGCACCATCAGTAACCGTATTATTAATGTTGATGATGAGTCTTTGAATAAAAATTTATTGTTTAGTTCCTAATTTCTATGTCTATGGTCTATGATTACTAATGAGTCTGACTAAGGCCAGGACCAGCACCAATTACTAATGATTCATGAGAATGATTGAGTCTCGAGTCTAGAAGGCACAAAGGCGCAAACTATGCGTTTAAACTGTTACTTTAGATAGTAGGCTGGCTACAGTAGCTCTACTTTCTCATACCGCGGGTTCTGCACCGGTACTACTTAATATGGCCTCAATGTTTGTGTATGTTGCATGCACTTTTGCTGTATGCATGCCATGTTATGTTGCTTAACACGGACTCAAAGCTTCCTAAGCAATAGTTCAAATGAATCAAGACCATAGACCATAGTCTTAGAGTCTTTTGTGGCAATACTAGCCAGACCAGGCCAAAGTACGTTGTGTCTTGGCCTTCACCTTAGCAGTCTTCTTTTTGTTTGGTTCTTCTCGACGCAGTAGCATATTGACCGCTTCACTGACGATATCATCATCATCATTGTCATCCTCGTCGTCACCAAACTCATCCCCAACATTGTTGTTGTCTTCGTTGCCGGAACCATCTTCGTCACCACCATCGCAGTCAGCATCTTCAATGCTTACCCAATTAAAGTCATCTTCAAAATGCAGGTGTGACAAAGGAGTGTTCACAAGCAATTTGTACTTCTTGGTGAAGCAATACTCCAGCAATTCACCACCAGCCTGGCTCAGTGCCACCATGTCAGCCGCCACACGCTTCAAACTGACAAAATTCAATAGTTCCTTCCCTCCGGTTTGCTTGTGTCCAAGTTGAAAGGTGCATGGAGGGACACATGATGTGGAAACCTCTAGCTGCACCCCGTCAAAGGTCAACGGCTTGAAGGTCGGGTGCGATAGAATCCAAGCACAAGTCTTGGTGTCTCCGCATCTGGCAAGGAGGACAGGGTGTCTACAAGCTGCGTTCAGCTTCTTTTTCTCTGCTTGAGCGTCGGGCTTCATGGCCCTGCACACATTGCGCAGTAGTCCCACAATTTTCTGGTAGACCATAGGGTTGGCACCATTGGTTGCACGATGCACACATATGTCGCTGCAAATCCATCGTGGCTTCAAATCCGGTATGTCTGCTCCTCCAATAGCTGCACCATGGGTCGACTTCCAGTCTTGGCTGAGCACATTCACTGCCTGCTTGTGGGCTGCAAAACATCCCACTACTGTGGCGCTGATAGCATGATGTTTGTCGCCAAGACCATGTAGAGTGGAAGCTTTTGCGCCACCATCAGTGGAAACTGCTTGACCAGGGTCATAGTCATGAGTCACCAATGCATTGTTCAGAACTGCTTCTTGTGAGCATTGCCGTCGCAAACTTGGATCTGCCTCGAATGATTCAACATGATTCAACCAAAAAACCTGAAACCATTGTCATTGTTAATTGTTTTAAAGGCAAGATTTCTCATAGAGTCGTGCAAGTTGTACTGTGCCAACGTGACTCTCATATGGTATGTGGCGCACGGCATGGATCTATTCTACTCCTCGCAATGTGTATAGTCGTCCCACAATAGCTCCAACAAAAATACACCAGCGTTCCATGCTAGGGTCTTCCAAAAAGAGGTCACAACAGAGGCGTAGTCTTAAAGATACTGTACCAGTGCCATGAAATACCAATGGCGTAGTCTTAGAGGTTTCAATTGGTTCAATGCGAGTATGTTTGTTGAAAAGATTTCTTTAAATTATTTACAGTATCAGTATAATGCAATTAAAATAATAACTAGACTATAATCAGATACATCATGATACATCATATCAAACCAAAATATATACATATCATATACAGCAAATATATATATATATAGATTGTACAACTAATTATATTCAAGTATTTGTTGTAAATAGTTTGCAAGATAGTTCCTTCCCCATCTATTCATATGCGCCAGGATTAGCAATAGAACCAGCAGTTCCAGGAGCCCTGGAAACAAACTCTGATTACACACCCCATACTATGCCAAGCTGCATGCCAGCTTTGATGAGCCTGGGCAAGTACTCGTCGGGCCCTGGATCTTTTGGACTCTCCTGCCCTTCGGCTGTTCTGCTTCCAGGTGTTGGCCAAATGCAAAGTCCACCCATTGTGCTTCTTTTTTCTCTTTTGAACTTGATGATTTTGGCTGGGCTTGGTTGCCCCTGCCTCAATCTCCTGAATGATGTCTTCTACAGGTCTTTTCCGCTTTCGCTTGGAAACTGTCGTGGCACAACTCAGAGAAGCATTGATGGCTGCCAGCCCCTGAGCACTGGTAGCAGGGCGGCTTGGATCATTGGCAATGGCATTGTCTACCAAAGGAAGTGCATCACTGCCAGTTCCCAGGGCAAGCTGCATAGTGCTCCTTGCCCAGTCAGCCAATGACTCTGGTGAAAAAGTGATCCCACCATCCAAATCCACCAGGCGGCTTGCGTGCTGCTTGCCACTCTGACTCTGTCTTCGGACATGGTCTGTCTTCAGCTCTGCTAAGATATGTTTGCTGCAGTTTGCTGCTAGACCCACAGGCTTACCTAAGCTGCTGCCGACGCAGTGGTGTCAATGCCCACGCTGCCTACATACATGTCAGTGAGATGAGATATCTGAGATAGAGATACATATGTAGTATGTAACGTATGTCAATGACTCAATACCTTGTACTGATACTGATACTTATACTGTGTAGTAGCTAACCATATGATGACTCAATGATGACTTTGACCAGGTGTACTATGGCTAGGAATCTGAATGATGCAGTTACTCATCAAGCTCCATTGGTGTCAGTATGCGGAGTAATTGCTAGTCATGTCTGCTAGCACTACTTTTGAGTTTGTGTTGGGTAATCGAGTCACCCTGGCTGCTTGAATTGATACTGATAGTAGTAGGGATTTGTATTTTTTATGCGTGTATTTTATGTTTATCAATTAATTAGTAGTTAGTGAAAAAGTACTAGTATTAGTACAGTATAGTCTAGTCTAGTATAGTCTAGTATATTATAGACTACTATAGACCTATTATAATTATTACTATGACTATTACTAATTACTAACTACTAGTTGGCTCAGTCCAAATCAAAACTGTCTCCCTCGCATTCAAGCTACCCCTGGCAGATCTGGCACAAGACTGATGCCTTGCAAAGTTGTCTTCGATTTCAGCGTTCAAAGGCTTCTGATACGAAAGAAGTTCACCAAACTTGTGCAGTCTGCCACCTGGCAGCAAGTCCGTGCAACTGGCGGCTACACCTTGCAACCGCATTGAGTACCCTTCATCTAGGCAGCACTGCTCGGCATTGATGAGGTCCTGGGCAATGTCTCGAGCCTCCTGCTCAGTCAATGCTGGGTTTGCGATCTGAGCAAATTTCCACGGGTAGCTTGTATATAGAGTGCCCTGACGCCTCCACAAGCGTGTCGATATTTGCAAAGCCGCATAGAAAAATGTATACAAACAATTTGCTTCGCCAATGTCTGCAGTCCACCCGCTCCCCTCCAAACCTCAGCTGGTTACGCAGCTATGTCACATCTATGTCATGTCACATGTCCAAACCTCTAGTGTTGGATCTCTAGCTTTGGTAGAATAATTAATCTTACTCTGATATAATATATAATGTACTGCTACTCCTTATCAACCGCGTTGAACAAAAACAAACATACAAGTCGAGTGACTCTTCATGTGGCACAGTGTGTCTGAGTCGGCAGGAAGATCTCTCAGCACTTCAGTATACTCAAGCAGAGCGCGGAGTACAGGACTGTTGGTTGAAGTGAGTACCACCAATGGACGCTCTGTGGGGTTCTTGCTGAGCCAAGTCTCCCGTGTTTGTTGTTGGAAAAGCCAATGCATGTACCGTTCAAGGGGTTCAGGAACAACAGCAGTAATATACATCTCAGTTGTAGTCTCTGGTCTTTCAGTATAGTCAGAGCTCTTCTTGGATCGAACACCATGAACCTTGCTGGGCGCAACTTCAGGCACGACAAAAGCAGACTCCGCCGATCCTGCTTCTGACTCGGCACCAACCAAATCTTGCACCAAGCTTCCCACGAGAGCAGCCATGCTTGAATTGCTAATGTCTTGGCGTTTCTTCATCTTGAACAGAGAGAGAAACGCATGCCTAAAGAGACCGTGGCAAGCCAGCCCTGTCCTTGGCCGGATTGCAGGCGAGAAACAACTGCAATTGAAACTGTAACAAGACAAAGACAAGTGCTTTGAGTTTCAAAGTCTGAAGACAATCAGTCTAAGTCTAAACTACAAACTCCACTCACATACTGCATACATACTGCTGGCTTGATCATGAACCTTGACCTGGAACAATGCTGTATCTCGGATCATGAATCACATCTCATATCACATGACTCATATGACTCATGACACATTATAATTATATCATATCATATGGCAAACAACGTCAATTCAATTTTGAATATGAACAGGAAAACACAAAGCTGTGCAAAACAAAAACACCATTGATCACGAATCATGAATCATACCGTACAGCGTGCCCCTGAAACACAAAGTTGAACCCTCTTGTGAAAGTTGGACACAAGTGATACAAGTGCTGAACAGACCCCGATACCGTATACAGCAGTATATGTTTTGTCCGATACAAATACATTGTCAGGGTTCCTGGGTTCCTGTTATTCACTGAATAACCTAGCCTAGCCTATCTATTTGGGTCGATTGAAAAGTGGTTAGGGTGCTTCATCCATCCAAAGCCTGGCAGCAACACTGGTTTCAATGGTTGACTGACCCTACAGTAACCCAGGAGGCATGGCAAGTATCTAGAGGTGTGGGTATGGGTCGATGCTTCCAAGAACTAAGGGTACGACAGAAACCATTTGCTAGATTTGCTGCATTTAAGCCATCGCGACAATGCCGGAACTGTCGGCCGGCTTGACAGAACCACTTCCGCAAATAGGTCAGCAGCAAGGTTTCCCAAAGATGTTGCATCCAATCCGCCACACTTGCATCCAAGTTGACAGCAGTGCACCAAACCATTGACAGAAGTGTCTTTCCAATTGCCGTTGAATACGGTCAAAAACATTTCAGTTCTTTTCTGAAGCACGGACTTCCTACTATCAACCATTCCCTCCCCCTGGTGTTCGTATAAACTATGTAGTTTCTTCAGCCGTACCGGCAAAGTAATGTCCATAATTTTTCTCGCGAATCTCATGTTCTCTGGACATGGTTTCGCATGGACAATTCGAAGACGGGATCGGATAATGCTGCAGGAGTTGAGCACGAGGTCATAGAATGTGCTGCCGTAGCTGAGGACATTGCTGAGGCAAAAACTTAGAGAATGTGCTAAAGGCAACCCAAACTCAAAAAGCTCAATTGACAATTTCCACAATTGCCAATCTAACAAATCAAAGGAAGGGAAAGAGTTGAGGGAAACGTCTTTTGTTAGAAGCAACCTAACAGCAAACGGCTGCCAAGATACACTGCATTCACGTTCATCGCCCTGAACATATCTTCTACGCAATGGTGCGCCTCGTGCCTGCAACAGTACAGTATTGACCTTGTTCCAAAATCCCCAAGCATCTCAAGTTTGTCTTCCCATCAATCACGACACAGTGAACCAACTGTATCAAAACTGCAATTTGATTTGTCAAGATACAAGTTGCAAGTGTGGTGGGTCATGACAGTGTTGTCAGGAAGATTCTGACAAAGCCAACGAGACATTTTCAGGTTGGCAGGCGCAGCATCAGACAGCAGCGCAAAGAAGAACCCATCGAGTGTTGTAGACCATCCTTAGCTTAGCCTATTCCCCCACAATTATTTTTGTGTCTGACTCAATTGGAATTTGTTAGGCAATGCAATGTATGTATCTAAGTCAAGTCATGTCTATGAACTGCAACTATAAAATAGTCGAGTCATTACTCATTACACATGAATGAAATTGAAGCGGGTGTTCCAAGCACTCCTCTGAATACAGTGCTAGGAACGCATAGGATGCACCGGCTGCTTCTGGCAAATGCCCTCCCACAAGCTGCCAGCGGTTGTCCGCAAAAGCGCTGCTGGACAAGAGAGAATCGGAAAGTGCCTTGGCATCATCGCCATTGTTGCTTTGAAAAGACAAATAAGGTCCAAATTCCATTCCCATCAGTGACATCATATAGACATGAAATTTTAGGAGTCATAAGGTACTCTTACCTTGGACATTATTTATATGATCAATCATAGACTCCTCGAATCATATCTCATGACTCATATCATATATTGGTTGAATATCAAAATCAATGTCAACGCAAAACGATGAGTTGCCTTGTCTTGTCCCGCTCGCAAATGATCAATGTAGATCGCTGTACCTCAGACACGGCCACGCCATAGGCAATGGTAAAGGCCTATTCGATGGTGACTGTGCTAGACATTTGTTCTCTTGTGCTCAACCAAGAAACTAAAACGCTGAAGTAAGCATCTGTGCAAATACGCTCCCCATATTTGACCACTTGTAGCTGTGATGTTTCGTCAAATTCCAAATGCAGTTTTGCCATCACTTCAGTGTTTCCCCCCCTGCGGTTCTGCAGCAAGCTCTGGCACATCTTCTTTTGGCATCCCATAAAGATGTTCGATATGAATGATTGCACCTTGGTCTGGCAATTGCACATTTGACTTCTGACTGACACCTTCCGGTGACTACTAACACTGATGTTGCTGATACAGTTCACAGTTTGTATCCAACCAAATCCGGCTTGTAAAATAACGAACAATGACAAGTCTATCCGATCCTGAGTTTTCTTGATCAGCTGAAATGAAATACTGTCACAGCAGTACAGTGTGGTGGTTTGCTGCCTCATTGCAAGACAATCTGACACCCACAACTATTTCTGACTAATAAGAAATTATCATAGTCATAGTCATAGTCATAGTTTACTATCGGTATTAGATTCAGCAGTTGTTGTTGCTGTAGTAGTCGTCGTCGTGACAGAGGCAATAAAGGCGGTACTGGTTGTGGCGGTGGGGGTGGAAGTGGTTGTGGGGTGGGGTAGCAAGCTCAACTTTCGCTTTCACCTTACTCTGTGTCAGTTGTTCAGGTGGTGACAAGCCAGAGCATTATCCTTCCCGCATTCCCTGTTGCTTTTTGAGGATTCTAGAGGTTTCCAAAACAGAAAGCAATGAGGGGGTTAGGTTCATGGTTGCCAATCCTCTCCATTGACCCAAGAATTATTACGTATCAATTGTCAGTTATCAGTTATCAGTATCAGTTAAGTTTTCAGTTATCGTCTCGTTGTTATCTCATTTGAGTAACTACCGAATCGATTCGAATGAATCATATCATTCATTGCCAGTATTTGTATTTATGGTTGTTTGCTTGTCTGTTTGTTTGTCTGTCTGTATGTATGTATGAATGAGTGTATTTTATTTATGTAATGTAATGTAGTAGTAATGTATCTAATCTATGTACTGTCTGTATGTATGGTTCATGAAAGGGTGGGATAGTCAGTCAGTCAGTCAGTCGGTCAGTCAGTCAGTCAGCCAGCCAGCCAGCCAATCAGGCAGTCCAATGACGCGGGCCACCAACCAGCAAGCAAATGAGGAGGCGCTACTACTTGAGCCTTTGAGCTTCCTTTACATAAGCCGTATGGTCAGCCTCCGGACCATCCTAGAATCCCGGGCAATCAACGGCAGACATGCAGCTCCTTAACTCCTAACCCTCCTCATCGCGGACACTCAACAGCGGGTGCTACCGAAGGCTCCTCGACCTCCAATCCTGATTCCTCATCCTATCCTCATCCTCAGTCCAGATTGCAAAACCGCATCAGTGCAAGACGGTTCGTCTGCAGAGTCTTGAAGGCGTTGGCTCGCTCTCCGAGCGTCCATGCAATGACCCAGTCCAGTCGCAGGAATAGTTGCAGTAGCAGTAGCTGTAGAACGTCTAGAAGTAGAACATGATATAATCACTAACTATATATAATATATATGACTCGACTATAGTTACTTTAACAACAATTGACAATAGCCAATAGCTAACTAGGAGCGGTGGTAGTAGTAGTAGTAGTAGTAGTAGGAGTAGGAGTAGGAGTAGCAGTAGGAGGATCCAGGATGAACTGGCAACCGAACATAAGTAAGTTTATCACATTTTGGGTATATTGCCAACACTGAAAACAAAGACCATATATAAAATGAAGCTGAAGCAGCTCTTCTAGTGTTGAAATTATTTTGACCAATGATCAGCAAACAGATCTGGTGCCTGCACCAGCTTGGTTCTCCCCAAGAGGGAGGCAAATATTGTCCGTAGTCATAGCGGGTTTGGTAAAAATGAATCCGAGCCGATCAAGTTGTGGCAAGCGGCCTTGGCGACAAAGGTTCCGGAAGCACAAGTCCAGTACGCAAGGGACTGAACTGACATCATCGTTGGTGACATGCCCTGCCGATTGAACTTGGTGGCGCTAAGCGAGCTGTGTCCGAACCTCATATTGAACTCCTCAACCTCAACCGCTTGTGTATACTGTATACAAGAAAAAAGGCAACCCCTGGTTTGACCCTGGTTGTAATGGTCCAAGGTTTGATTAGCTAATGAATATGAGTATGATATGATATGAGTACAGTCTATGATATGCAATGATATCTTATTATGTTCTGTTTGATTGTGACTCTGATGATTTGCTGTAGCCCAATAAAGACAGGCCACGCCGCACGCAACATAGCTGACGGCAACCACTTTTTGTGGCTTCCACATCCACCAGTTTGCTGAGCAATGTCTGATTGCCGTACCGCATGATCCCGCACAAATCTTGCAGCCAAGTTTTTCCTGAGGATGCAAGGTCATTGGGCAGAACTGATCAATGATCCCGATCTGAATTCTGTGTTTGATTTGTCTCTATCTGGGTCTGTATCTGAGTCTGATTGTGTGTGTTGCTGGTGGTTTTTACTTATGATTCACTGTATGTTGGTTAGTTCTACTACTGACACAGCCATGGTACTCAACATATGCGTACATTATAGTTACTGTAATCACTCAACAACAAACAGTAACATTCATGTTGAGTTAAAAGTTGTCTTGGTTTGAACCAGGCCTGTCTTATTGAATGGAAGCTTTTGGTTAAGTTAGAAGT